GCTTTGGCCTTAAATGTGACTGGAGCGAGATAACCAAGAGGATCGTAGATCCGAGCGACGGCAGACATAATACCCCTTTTCGTCATTGTTAATTCGATAGGTTCAATGTCATAGGAAAGAAAATCATGGACGGAATCCCACTGCAACCCCAGTAACTTCACGGATTTATTGTCTGTATCTGAAAATTATTTATCCCTTGTCTCTTACTTACGTAATGTAACAGCTCTGGAGTATTACTCATCAATTCTTTCAAACTAAATCCCCCCCTTTTTGAGTGATTCAACTAACTCATACTGAAGTTCAAGGGCTTCGTCAATAGTGTTCACGCCAGTTAGAATATCATCCACGTATATATTATTTTTTAAGGCATCAGAAGCTTTTGAATATAACGGTCCTTCATCTACTATAAGCTGATGTAATACACGAATCGCTATTTATGGAGAGCACGATAGACCGAAGGTCAGTCGATTCAACAGATACTCCGCAATTGGTTGAGATTCATTTGCGCGATACAGAAAATGTTGATAAGGGATATCCTTGTTGTGCATTAATATCTGCAGAAACATGTGACGTATATCTGAGACAACTACAATTGGGTAACGCCTGAAATTAAGGAGCACATGTGTAATGTCCAGCTGTAATTTAGGACCTATCAGGAGGTGGTCATTGAGGGAGCCAAATTCAGTAGATGACGACGCATCGAAAACTATACGCAATTTTGCATAAGAATTATCTTTAATAACACAATGGTGTGGTATATAATATTGACCAGCACTAGTTGCTGTTGAAACATATCCCAATTCCAAATATTATTTAATTACAGTCGAATATTTTTCTTTTAATATTGGAACCTTATTTAACCGGTGCTCCAATTTAAGAAAACGGTTGAGGGCACTTTTGTATGAATTACCCAGATCAGGTGGAACCTGTCGTTCAAAAGGCAATCGGCCAATGTAGCGTCCGTTTAGATCTCGGGAGTGAGCTGATCGAAAATGATCTTCTGCGATGACATTTTCGGGATCTGTTCTAGATGCCTCAGGGATTGCTTCGACATTCCAGAACTTCTCTAATGTTATATTTAATGTGTCCTCGGGTTCCTTATACGAAGTAACAAGTGAAACTGATTTATCCAGTGCCATAGAGTGAGAACCTACGGGTCTAATTATCACCCAACCGAAAACGGTTTGGAGTACATTAGGATATCCTTCCCGATCTATGCACCCTCCAGTTAAAATTCGCGCAAACAAATCGGCCCCCAATAAAAAATCGACTGGGCCAGGTTCCCCAAATGAATTGTCCGCCAGGTTATAGTGGTTAATAAAATGATCACTTGGTATTGGGCTGGTTGGTATACTGTCAGTGATATTAGGAACGATTACGGCATCGGTTTCGAGACTAGGAAACAAACTGTCTTTGGGCACTAATATGCAACGAGTTTGGTATTCCCATCCCTTTATCGGACTATCTCCAAAACCCCGTAACGCCTGCGGGTTAGTAAATCCAGTTATTCCTAGATTTTGAACGCATTTTGAAGAGATGAATGAACGTTGTGACTCACAATCAATTAAGATCCTAATAGGAACGTATCATCCACTACTATCTTTTATTCTAGCCCATGCTGTTCCCAAAAGAATTGAGGCATTGGTCCCGGAAGATGATGACAGAACTGTGCCTTTTGTTTCATTGGTTCCCCTATTATTTTCTAAAGTGGATGTACTAGTAGAGGACTGTCCGTGCGCGTTACTTAGCGAGCTGGGAGTAAAAGTGGGAAAATGTAATAACGTATGATGCCGCCTTTTGCAATGGAGACATAAAGCTGCATTTGAGCACGTGTTAGCATAATGACCAGGTTTTAAACAATTAGAGCACAAGTTTAGCGGTCTCAATTTATTGAATTGTTCTATAGGTTTCATTGATAGGAAACGCGGGCACCTATACAAACGGTGTCTTTCCTTACACAATGGACAATTATTGGCAGTTAAAGGACTGTCCATCGACATTAAAACACGTTTGGATACCGTTTGTGATCTATGAGTTTGATAACCTTGAGCATTCACATATATATTTGAGGTTAATGCATCTGCTTGTAACTGAATACATTGCCGCTGAATACAATTTGAAAAATCATCGAAAGTTGGAATTTCGGTAGAGGACCCAAATTCGGTTTCGAAACTTTCTCGCGTCTTAGAATCTATTAATCTTAAGCAGTACGTGAACAAAACGAATCCGGAAAGTTCCTTAAGATTCATATTTCGGAAGGCCGTCGCACTTTTTTATACGACCTCTGCAAAATGATCCAATGAGCTAAAATCAAATTTAACAATCGGTTTAAAATTAAACACATTGATCAGATAGTTTGTGGCGTTAATTCTTTTATTATCGTATTTTTGCCCAGGTTATACTAAAATTGCCCAGGCTTGTTGATAACCTTCTGAAGTGGTCAAGATGGCCGCGATAGACTGAAGCGCTGAATCCTTTAAAGCCGAGTTGAGGTAGTGACATTTTTGAATTTCGGTCAACAGGTTATTATTGTGAATTAATGATATAAATGTATCTTTGAATGATACCCATTTATAAATTTGACCGTCAAAGGTGGGTACATTTATTGTCGGCAATTTAATACGGGACTCGAACTCCATATATCTACTGTCACTTATCGCTGTTGTGTTAGTAGAAGCAGGTTCCCCCGCAACCCCAAGAGATATTGCCTAGTAATAAATATTTCTAGTTTCAATTCTTAATTCATCGATTCTCGAGATAAATGCGTCTTCAAGAATTTTCGCTAATGATTTAGCCTCTTTTTAATGAATTTAATGAAGCCTAACTATTTAATTGTGATTTAATAAAAGAAAAAAAGAAATAAAGTTGACTGTATCTTCAAACATTTATTTTGGAACATTTACGAAATCTAAAATTACGAAATCAATTTTACACTTGTTAGATAGGTAAAAAAATAACAAACTTCTAGCATAAAATAAAGACCAGCTGAATAAACAATTGTGACAATATTAATGAAACATTTTCATGCTTGATCATAAATAAAAACTATTTCTATGGCACAAATTATAATAAAAAAAAAATTAAAAAAAAAAACAACTTCTCTAAAGTCCCAATATGAAAAGTATATATAAATATATATATATATATATATATATATATATATATATATATATATATATAACAAATAATTAGATTGTACATCGTTACGTGGACGAAGCAGGACGTTCTTAAACCTCTGTCTCTATGCAGAAACCAATTGTAACTCTTCAATGAGCGTGCTCAAAACGAACTGCAAATGGGCAGCGGCGAGCACGACGAGAGAAGTACGTCTCTTCAGAGTAGAAATGCAGTGGGCAGCGTTGATGTTGGCAGTACTCAGCTCTATATCAGACGGAGTCAGACTGTCTCTTGTCAATTCTACCGCCTTATGACTTGTACCTAGCACTTGTTTATAGCTAGTTCTACTAAAATCCATAACAAAGTAGTCCAAGTATAAACTATTGATTTATTTAATATAAACAATATAAGCTATGGGCCTATAATACTTAATATACACATACCCTATACATATTATTAATTGATTTCACTTTGCTAAAATAAAACAAATCAACAATTAATCAAACTAGTTAAGTGTAAAATAAATTGAATAACCGCTGTGGCGTTTTTAACTGTAAAAATAAAATAAATTAACGCTGTGGCGTTAACAAGTCGCGTCGCCGGCATTACTTGTCCGGTGGAAACTGAGAGACTGCACTAAAGCCACAAACAATCATGACTTGTGTGGGGAAGCTGGCCGTTGCCAGAACTCTAGTGACGTCTTTACAAATATCTCGAGGCCACTGCCGTTTCAACCTTCGAAGAGGATTGTCGGAATGACTGTAGCTAGATAAGGATTGTGCTAAGAGATTAGGATGGAGGACTAGGTTCAAGTGAACATTTTAGAAACGGGATGGAATAACGTCATGGACATAACAGATATAAAGGTCATCATGTAAGGTTTTGTTTGAAACATAATAATGAGCATTGAATATTATACGGAGGACCTTATACTGAAAAGTTTGGATGCGTTTAATGATCGAAAATTTAGTAGCGAGAGGAATAGGAGATTTTTTTTTTTTTTTTTGAAAATTAATATATTCTGCCACACCTATATACAATATTTACATTCAGCCAGGGGACTCGTTGAAAGTTTGACGTTCATGCATTTTTTTTTCGTGTTTTACAGATCTCATTCTCACAAGTGGGTGGGGTGGCCGAATGGGCTAACGCGTGTGCACAGCACCATACGGAACCCCCTGGCCCGGGAAAATTCCGTATAGCTTTAACGGCGAGGTAGGGAATTACCCCCCCCCCCCCAAAAAAAAGAACAAAAGTCTCATTCTCACAATTTTTTTTCCTTCTTTCCCTTCATTTTTAATTTTACTCGAATTTTCCCCACCTTTGAGGAAACTCATCGAGGAAAGGCTTGTATTTTTGATTTTGAAATACCCCTGACCCCTACATATATGATTTTATAATGGTTCCCTGTCCGTGGCATACCATCCACGCAACGTCCCTGATTTGCTTACACCTTCCACTGACTGCTGTATAAGCAGGTTATCAGAGTACAGTCGGTCCAGAGATGTTGTGTTATGAGTTCAGTTAGTAATATATTGAAGTAGTTCATTTATTATAAGTTGAAGATCCGATTAAAAAGTGAGATAGGTTTAAATATGTCTAATAAGTAAGTGATTCCAGTGTTAATGAATTCTTTATGAAAAAGTCTGTTATGAGTGTTAAGATTATATTTTTTGTCAACAACTGCCAGTTATACTTTTATTTTTTAAACAATAATATTTTAAAATAGTAATATAAACGGTAATTCATTCAAAACAATAATGAATATATTTAATTCGTTTTTTTTTAATCAATATTACATAAATGAACATAAAATATTATGTTAGGTGCCCGAATAAAATATATAAAACTAATATGATATTTAAAACTGCAATGAACCTCACCCCACTGTCAAGTCCCAACATGATGAGCATAAAGAAAAAGAGAAGAGACCAAAAATGGCTGCCTGGCAGTGTTGCCACAGCTTCTGGGTACACTTGAAACACTAAGCCTGCTCCTGAAAAATGATTAGGTACACTCACTAATTATTTATAAAAAACTTTTTTTTTTCAGGATAACAGTCATGTAGTTTGAAAAAAGACAGAAAAAAATGTAAAATTCCTTAATCTTTAAACCAGTGTTAACTTATAACTATTAAGATCCAAATATAGCTATATTTAATTATTTAAATTATGCATACATTTTCGTAATTTTTAGTCGGTTATAATAATTAAATGTGTGTTCTTACCTTCTGTAGCAACTGAACTGATAGGTATACCCTGTTTATGGCTCATGAAGCCTAGGTATGTAAAGATCACGAAACCTGAGAAAAAAGAAGTGAAGCTGTTGACAGCGGATGTGATGATACAGTCCCTAAAAAAACAAAAAGTGTCCATTATGGCCAAAAAAAAAAAAAAAATGCGGATAATGTGTAAAGAAAAAGCAGATATCCTGTACAAAATCCAAAAATAATAATTTGAATTATTCCAATGAGACTTCAATGCCAAATGGTGAAACTTGGCATCACCTAAATGACTTTCCCTGATTTCATTCCCTTCATCGTGTCAGGGCTAGATGATGGGTTATTGGCTATTGGATATCAACTTTTAACAGATTATAAGCACTTTTATAAGAAGCTATTTGAACACGGGAAAGATATTGATGGATTGATGGATATCTGATGGTTACCAGTCCTGGTATTACGGAGACAACTAGAACATTTTGTGTTGAGATTGGAAGAGATCGTTGGTCCAATTTTTTCTCCCTTGAGATCAGGAAATCAGATCCCACAAGGTCTCAAAAAAGGAAGAGTAGAATATAACAATGACAATCATTTATAAAAGACATAAGATAAGGGATAAGAGAAGATCGATGCACCGGTCTATACCATAATTTTACCATCATTGGAATTCTTGTTATGTGGGTAACATGTTTTATTTATTTATTGAAATTGAAATGGATAATCAGTAAATGTGAACAAATCAGGAATAATCACATCAATAGACTTGTGGAGATACTACGCAATGGTAGCACTCCATGAATAGTTCTAAGCTAGAAATCCCGACGCCGTCAGACGCATAGGAGGATTATCAGGAATCAAGGAAGAAGAAAGGCTAGATACAAGTGGATTTGAATGGTACTGGAATTTATCATGAAAGGATATATATCTGGCTCTGGCCAAATCAGAGAGTAGGTAATGATAAACGTGAAATGTAATAAAGAGCGTTATTGGCAGCAGTGATATTTGTACGTTGTCCGAATCATTAACGAAACAATCAAGGAATGAATTTGCAAGGGAGTACTCTTCAACTCCATTGCCTAATGTACATATCTTACTTACTACGAATTTTGATTTAGATCTCTTTATAACATTTATGGACGAATTCTTTAGATCTTCAAGAGAAGAGATCTCCGGACAATAATCGGGCACAGGAACCTCTCCCCTATTTTGGCACATGCATTTGTACTTACAAATCACATAGCAGACTCTCAGGGTAATCTACAAAAAGCAGTTATGGAATAGAGAGAGCAATTAATCCGAAAAGGGATGAATATATATGCAACTAAAAGTATTGGGCGAAATTAGGAGATATTAAATATCAATTTCAATGGAGTGATAATGGAATGAGTGGATACATACCAATATCTAAGTATACTTGTATGCAGAGTTACTAGAATTGATTCAGAAATACACAATCTTTAAAACAATATTCTTGTCGGTATTATTCTACAGAGCAGAACACTGGACAATTCTAGAAAAGCCTATTTCAAGAATATCCACCACAGAAATGATGTTCCTCAGAAGAATTGTAAGAAAGAATAAGAGAAACTGTATACGCAATGAAGCTGTTAGAGACGAATTAGATACAGTCTCTGTGAAAGCAAGCATAGAGGAACGTCAACTCAGGTGGTTGGGGGATGTATGGAGAATGTCAGTTTCCTTCAAAACGAAATAGTATATGAAGGCGAAGGACGAAGACTTATGGGACGATCCAATATAATCTACAGAGAGCACTTGGAGGGTTGGGGGAAATAGGAGGAAAGACGTAGGGCTAGATGCGCCAAACGGCCGAAGACAGGAATGAGTGGAGGAAGCGGACTGAGGCTCGCGTTTGACGTTTAAGGGCTCAAGAGCAAGGCAAAAAGAAGAAGGTTTTAACCAAAAAGTTATTTTAATAAATGGACCAAAGCCTAAATTAGCTAACCAACGATCAATTCAAATTGAAGTCGAAATATGGTTCTAATTATTATTTTTCAAAAATTAACGAACACATTTATTCATATAAGACACACAATCCCGTCTTGTTTTATTTTGATTACTGAGTAAAGTGTATAATATTAGAAAATTATACAAAGTAATAATCAAGTGGTTGGTTTAACGACCAATTATGGAGTATAATGACAAGTATAAATAATTAAATAGAACATTTTTAGTATAATCAATGATATGATCATAAGTGACTTAGTGGGGGAGTCATTGTGGCTAACAACTTTGGAGACCTCTGATCTAAGACATCGTCTTTCCCATCTTCAGCCACATTCTAGATGTTGTGTCTGTGGCAAGAATGGATGACAAGAAAGCTTTATAATCGGCTAACATTTCAGTCTTAACTTTAAACGTTAACTTTTGTGATATTATACTTACGAAAAACAATTGTTGTTGAAGTTATTATAGCTAGCATAGGCTAGATGAACCCCAAATCCAGCTCCAACAGAGTAGAAGATTTGAACTGCAGCGTCTACCCATACCTACGATAAAAAATCAAATTTGTTTTTTAACTACCAATTCGATAATAAAATGTACCATCGCTCTAAAAAAATTAATAACTAAATCAATATTGGTAAAGAACACCACAACTGACAATTTTTTTGTAATAATCTAGGGAGAACAATGGTATTAAAAGCACAAGTTTTATAAAACCTAAGAACCTGATTTGGTAACTGAAATATCCCAGGTGAATTATGAGTCTTCAAAGAGGTTTAGGACTTATATAGCGTCGAAATATAGAGTAATAGAGTACAATACGGATAAAACTGTTAAAACGGATAAAATTGTAACTATATTTCGAAACGAAAACTTAATTTAAATTCACTAACGGATCCAGGGGAGGGGCGCAGAAGACGTGCGTTAAAAAAAATTGAATATTTGCACTAAAAATTCTTCATTTATTGGCTGGAAGTAGTTGCTAGAGTGCTCTGATCTCTTGGAAACTGTTTTAAATTTAATTTGAGAGAGAAAAAAATTGAAAATTGGCGTGTTTTAGGTACATAGACGTCAATTATCCAATTAAGGAATTTTGACCGTCATTTTATTACAAAATACTAAACGAAATAAAAAGACTAAAATACATATTTCTTTTTATACATGGAATTCACCTATTTTGCATGCGTGTTCCCTCTCCCCGTCGGAACATTTCAGGATCCGCCACTGCTCAAATTACTCATAAGATAAAAAAATACAACTCATGAAAAGCGATCCTCAGCAATAAGATAGTGAAAATCTATGAAAGAGTGAGTTGGATAACTCACAATCAGTGAATAAGGGATTGTGTTTTATCTGTCCCATGTTTGAGTTTGGTTGTAGCAGGTAATAATTTATTTTGTCATTTCAGCCGTAGTTCAACCAGACCTTCCTGAAACATACCCAGCCACTATAATGCGGTTACCCTTAATTCGGGGAAAACCTACAGTTGAGTATGAATCACCTTACAGAACCGTCGGCCTAGAAACGTTACTTACTAAATACAAAACCCAAGACTCTCTATGGGTATTAGTATTTTTTTTCTCTTTCCCCCTCTCTATCTTCCTCGTTATGCCATATATAACCTGGAGGGGCCTCAATCCAACGCTGCCAAGCCTCATTGTCCCTGCAGAGCTGTTTCATTTTTTGGAGAGTTTTCCTCCCATCTTTTGAATATACTCTTCATACAAAATTCTGTGCCTTCCGCGTTACCTTTTGCCAGTAGGTCAAGCTTCCATAACCTTTTTGGGTTCCTGGTTCTCACTCATTCGACAAACATGACCAAACTACTTCCACTGCATGTTTTTTAGAGTGGATTTTAGTGCAGGAAATTTTAGTTCCTCTCTGATCCTTTCATTTTTTACGCGATCTTTTCTGGTTTTTCTTTATGACTAGTACTTCGTAAGTACTTCATTTCAGCTCCTGTGATTCTGCTTATCTGCTAGTCCAGCATGACCCAGCTCTCGGTCGCGTAGGTAATTTCTTGTAATACCTACAAAATTTATAAAATTTCTCAGTGATTTGTTTTTGTGTGGAATCAAACTATAAAACCAAGTCTTATAATAATATTGTGTATTTTTTTAAAAGTCATATGATTTTTTTTCCGAATATTTTTAGTCATCTATCAGTTGAGGCGTTTTATAAATCTGCATAGTTTTACCTGAGTATACGAGCACTCGCGGATCAGATGAAAGGGGGAGAGGGGTTGTTTCACTGTTTTTTTCACATCGTTTCATATTTGTTTCTGTGAGTGATCTGGCAATGTGCTAAATATTTAAAAAATCGCAATGTGCTCTATTTTTTTAAATTTTAACGCACATACAGCTACTAAATGTAAGCATGAACTAAGAAAAATATATAAAAAGGTTATCCCTAAAAGGTTATTATTGTTTCGTTAATTAGCGATTTTTTATTTATTTATTCATTTATTTATATACACATACAATACCCATACAAAAAAAAAAAAAAATTAAACTCTGTATTCCTTGCTGTATACGATAACAAACACAACTTCATTATTTGGGGAATATGAATCAAGGTATCGATGATTCATGAAATTTTAATACATTTTTCATTGAAAATGACCATAGAGAAAAATAAAAGTAAAATGAATAAGGTACTTTAACTTAATCTAAAAATAAGTGGGAGGATAACTTAATCCGTGGCACAGACTCTATTTGATCAAATTATTAATATCCGGATAAAACTTCGTGAGTGGATTCATCATATCGTCACCTACAAATTTTTTATATACGAAAATTCTCAGAAATGGGGCATTTTCTCATTAAATTAATTATTTCAATGAGGTATTAAAAACTCATAAATGCCGATTTGCTCTCCACTTGAATCGCAAGAAAATTTGACCCAAATCGAAATAAAAGGTGGCCTATAAAAATATTGGCCTATATAACCTCGTTATATATTAGGGTGGAGTTCACGCAAAACGGCCCAATATTTTTGTACCTTTTATCTCGATGTTGTGATCACACTATCTTACGATTCAATTGGAAAGCAAATGGGTGCTCATGAGTTTTTAGTACCAAACAAGTTTACTGATCTCCAGATTGAAAACGCAACAATTCCGAGATTTTTTGTAAATAAAAGTTGTATGTCACGATGAGGTGAAGCTATTCATGAAGTTTTAGGTGGATGTCAATAATTTGATAAAAAGGGTACCACGGACTAGCAAGACGTACTGTATATTACTATGTATGAATTGGTTTTTTGTTTTGTATACAATATGAAGACAAGATTTGTTTTGTTACTTTTTATATATGTTATGGTTAAGTAATAAAATTATATAAAATATTAAGTTTATATGTTATACGACCTGGGTTTCCTTGAGTTTGGAAAGCTCCGGTTGGAGGTAGTACTTGATGCCGGTCATTGCCCCGGGGAGCATGAGACCACGCACTAAAAGTATCGTGAGGACGACGTAGGGCATTGTCGCCGTGGCCCACACCACTTTACCTGCAAAAGTAAAACATTTGTAATAGATAAATGTGAAACCATCTACCATAAAAAAACACACTGTTAAATTTCAAAAATGATTTCTTAGCTCCACTCGAAAAAATTTGAATATTATGAGTCAAAGGCTTCAAACCGATTTTTTAAAAAAATGTATAACAACAGTTTCATAACTATTTCTAAATAAACATGTGAATAATCATTATTATTTTTTACGAATAGACTATTGCACTCAATAATTTATTTAAATAACGTAAAGAATGATTGGATTGCTAGATTAGAAACATTATGGAAATACTTGACATCAGTGGCGTTACGTGGCGTACGTTCACTATTTGGTGTAGCGGTGCCCAAATGCGAGACCGAGACGAGTCTTGGCCTTGCAAACTCGGTCTTGGTCTTGCGCAAGAGTCTCGCAACGGTCTTGCAGTTACTTATTAGCTTATTACTATAGAGATATTACTGTAATTGAATAGATAAGAGAAACCTAACTAAGTCTGAATGAAAAATTATAGGAGTTAAATGCAAAAGTATATTGGTTATACCAGTTATTTATATATAGTAACTAAGATTGTCAAGTATTAGTAACTATTTTGCCTTAAATAGTTACTAAAAAAAAATATATTTTTTTTTTACCAGTCCTGCTCTTAGTCTTGCAAAGTGCGATTTTTGGCAACACTAATTTGTTGCCTTGAGATGATTTATTTTTTCAAAAATCCAACAATTTTTTTTTAACAATAGCATTCTCAACTCTGTGTTAATAAAAAAATGTTATTAATTATTATATATATTTTTTTGCAATAATTAAAAAAAAGCTCCCTGTCGTGGTAGTCCCCTTAGAGAGTGGTTTTCGGATTGCTACTCACCCACAAAATGGAAAATATGAAACTGGCACATCCAATTTCTTCTATATTATACCCAACGACTTGTCGCATTTAAACGCCCATTGAAACTTATTTCAATATCGTCCTTTTAATTCCTCATTTTCATCATTGAAACTTTTTCCAAATTTCTCCTGCAGTGTTTAGTACAAAGATCCCCCAAAATCGACTGTGGTTCTGACCCCCAGTGGTCAAACGTCACTACATCCATTAAATATTAATTTCCCAATATTATTTTTGCATTATTTCTCTGATAATTCACTTTTCTGTTCTATTCAAGAAACTAGCATATGGTGTTTGAATATTTTTTAATATGTTACTGTTATAAAATAGTAGTAATCTTTTAATACGTACCCGTGGACTTGACACCCTTGAAGAGGGACAAGTATAGGACACAGTACACAACGAAGACACATATGGCTAGCTGTAATTTGGGTAAGCCGAGGTCATGAAGTCCGTCACTCCGATCCATCTCCAGCACTCCCCTCCTATTGGTAAAAAATAACTGTTTTAATAATTACAATATCATATGAATGAAACGACATTGAAAGTATAGGGAGAGATTTTATCCAATATCGGTCATATAAAGATGTCCGAAACATAAAAACGAATTCGAAGGAAGGAGGAGAGGGGATGTCCAAAGGGCTCTGTCCTTGGTCCTGTCCGTTAGAGTTTGGTCTTCGCCGAGTGCTGAGAGTTCTAGAAGAGGAGCGGTTACTTGCAACGACTTATATGATTTAGACCCAGGGATGGAGTAGTACGAGAAGAAAAGTTATTCCTTACTTAGATTTCTTGAGAATTAGAATAACCTTAGATGTCAAAGAAGTTTATTAGAGGCAATTTCAGGGTCTCAGATTTCCGGCAACGGTAACTATAATGGAGTAGTACTGGATATCTTGGAATATCACGCATCAATTCAGGGCCTATTGACCAGTACTCACAATGTGATGTAGATCTTAACGGGAGAAAAATATCGCGACCTTGTCCTGCATGAAAAGAAGACGAAAGAATCATGATTTTAACAAAGAAGGGTCAACAAGATTTTCCAGAAATGTCCAGTAGAGGACTGTGACGGATCCAATCAAAAGAAAAAGAATAATTCGGGAGGACACCATTGAAGAGTGGAATCGATGAGGGGGGGGGGGAGGTATACTAAAAAAGAGGCGATCTTGAGAAAGTACCGTATGTTCACTGTTCACTGTTGAAAGCTTAATAGTTCATTCCTTACTATTTGTTGTCCTTCTTCAATCACTCACTGTGGATTTACTGTGGGGGGAGAGAAGCAGGTTTGCTTATATCATCATCATTTTAAAATATTTTAATGATCAGAAAAAAAGTAATAGGAGAATGAATTAGAAGATAAGTAATAGAAGATTGAATAATTAGAAGAAGAAGCGGTGGAATTGGCATTGGCCTCTTCACTTGCAACGACTTATATCATCATTTGGCCGCAGCGGTGGAGTCCAGTAGCTGAGCCAGCTTGAAAGAAAAAGCATAGAAGATGCTCCAACCTTTTCTGTGAATGGTACGAGAAGAAAAGTTATTCCTTACTTAGATTTCTTGAGAATAAGAATAACCTAAGATGTCAAAGACTACGTTTATTAAAGACACTTTCGGGGCCTCAGATTCCCAGGCGATCTTGAGAGAGAAAGTACCGTATATTCACTGTTGAAAGCTTAATAGTTCATCCCTTACTATTGGTTGTCCTTCAATCACTCACTGTGGATTCACTGTGGAGGGAGAGAAGCAAACCATCTTAAAATATTTTAATGATCAGAAAAAATGTAATAGGAGAATGAATTAGAAGATAAAGTAATACAAGGTTGAATAATTAGAAGAATAAACGGTAGAAGTGGTATTGGCCTCTTGTTCCGAAATCAGTATTGCCGTGAGGAAGGTTAGGCTGAGAACAAATAAATAATTGATAGAATAACATTTTTTTCCGAACCAGTGAAGGCTCGACAAAGCAATGCTGTATTGTCCAATCGAAATAATGAAATACAAATTATAATTAAGAACCTGAAATACTCAGAGGCAGGACTATGTTCTGCTCGATCAGTGCTGTTAGTCGAGTTGAACTGGAAGTGAGTGCAGGAGTCCGTGTTCCAAGTATTGTTGCAATAAAGCCAGGGTAGCTCTGAAGATAAGCTACCGACTAGGTAGTAGAGCGCCCAACCTACAACAGTAAATAATTTTATATCTTATATATATATATATATATATATATATATATATATATATATATATATATCAAAATGAAGAGGAAAAAACATTCCTTGCATTAATTACAGCAGTTGATTTTTTTTGTTAGTATAAATCGTAATGTGAATGATAATATAATAATTGAAGTTTTTTTCAGATATTCAAAAGTGTCCCTCAAACATTAAAATCTTAAAAATATACTCCACTACAATTTTTTTACTTTAAGCCAACTACTTTTGGGCAGGATTAACTGGGTGGCGCATTCAGGGGTGAATGGGGGGGGGGATAATTTGTGTGGTAATCTACGGGACGTTGCACTTTTCTTCTCCCTAATCTCCCCTCCTCATCTGGTTATTGTTGTAAATCTGCAATTAATATTAATAAGGTATTAATTCCAGTTATATTACTGGAATTAATACCTAGAAAAAAATTACATGCATTAATTAAAATAAATGACGTATTTCTCTATGGTAACCACTATTGATAAGCGCAAGGATCAAGAAATAAAAATAAAATGAAAATTATAGACGATGTTTTTTGTTCAAGAAAACTTAGCAAGTGATTGAATATTGATGACCAATTTCGTATACTATTGCTCGCTTCAAACCTCATCACCCCGCCGCAATAGGATGAATATTTATTAATATTTTAATAAGATTCGTAGGAAGTTTTCCTTCAAATTTATTTATAAAATAAAAAAAAAAAAATTTCTTTTTTTACTCCTCGAAGTAAATCTAGCCTGTTTTTGGTTTTAGCCTCGCTGCTAGATTTATTAATTTGTGGATCTGAAGTCGCATGGAACTTATACTTGACAACATCGTTTGTCTGATTGCGGGTCGATATTCATTATAATATTTATTGTAGGCCTCCAGTACCTCTTCCGTCAACATCACAGTTGAAAATAATGATTTTTCTGTGTAATCATTCGCATAATATTAGATATGTTATACTGTTTATACAAATAATAATATGCTAATAAAAAAAAATAATATGCCAATTACCTAACAATAATTTTCAAATCTTGGTGAGTACAGCCGGTCCATATTTGATTGTTGCGAAAATAAGTGAAAAGTGGCAAATAAGTTGTTCACTCATTTTGGTTATATCAAGTTGATTCTTGAATATAATATAAGTTATCTCCACCTTTTTTGGCACCCATAACTTGCTCCACCATGTCAATATTTATACAGCTCATTGTTCTAAATTTCTTTGTTCATTTTTCTTAATTTAAATAAAAAATAAAACCTAAATTTAAATAAAACCTGTTCGCAATTTTCAAAACCACCTCCACACATTTGGTTTTTACCAACTACAATCCACTGCATGTAGATTGTTCGAGTTCTTTTTCATTTATTTGAGAAAGTTTTGCCTTGAATTTCGGATTAATTGCCATGGATGGCATCCAACTTTATTCCTGATGGATCCTAATAGTTTTAAAATGAAGGGTAGGAATGGAATCAGTTTAAGTTAGTATTTCCAGTTTTACTTCTTCAGCTTTGAGTTGTGCGGGATGTTTCTTTTATAAATTCGAATTTAATTGTCTTGTAAACGATGACCTTAGGTTCTTTCCATAGTTTAACAGAAAGTTAGTCTGTTGTTATCTTTATTATTCATAAACAAAGGGTCAAAAATTATATTAAAACAATAAACGCTCTTGAGAGGTTTATAGATATTATAGATAAATATGAGAGGATAATAGATAAATAAACACTTTCATTCTGTGATCGTCTACTCTAAAAATTGAATAATGGCTTTTGTACCAAAAAAATGAAAATTTAGATAGGGTTTGTAGTTTTTTTTTTAGATATAAAAAATAAAATTATGAATTCGTTTCACTACTTTTAACTGGAGATGGTTGATTACACTATAACACTATAAAAATATCATATCATGAGCATGTATTATTCAACTCTTATTATGTATTCAAAATACAAAGTCCACTTGTATACTCAAAAATATTGAAAAATGTTTTTGTATTGTTTTGTTTTTTTTCGCCTCCTGGGCCACTTTGCGTCTTCAACCAAGGAAAAATATAAAGGAACTCAGAAGAGGCGTGATAAAAGAAGTTGAAAGCCTAATTCTTCTCGAAAATAGAGAACAAAAGGAGGGATAAAAAAAAAGAAAGACGTAGGGGACGGTAATGAAGGTCCAACCACAAGGGACGATTCTGATTTTTAGTATTACATGCTTATTATTATTTTCTATTACTTTTTTTTTAAAATCTATAAATATGACTAGAGCGTCACGTATTCTTCCTTGTGATAAATTATGAATAATTTATTTATTTTCTTGTCAATTTTATTAAATCTATGGAAAATAGAGCATTATTATAGTAAATATGTAAAACTAAATTATTTATTTAAAAAATGAAAAACAAAAACAAAAATAGATGATTAATCAAATAATGAGTTAATTATTTTTTATCTGTCAATCATGTACTTTTATTTTGAAGACGATTAAAAGAATATTTAAATAATTTATTTTATTCTATTAAATTATAGTTATTATGATAAAATAGAATAGCTATTTACTATCGTAAATAGATACAAACATTTGCGGATTACAAAATATTGTGTACTTGAAATCAAGGGGAAGACACGATTTTTAAGTGACAGTGAGAGTTTACAGTCATAGTTGTACCTTTCAGTTTACACACTGAAATCCCGAAAGGGCCAAGACCTATTCCTTATTCCTTAATAATCATAATAATTATTATTATGATCGAATATGATTCACATAGTAATAAGTTGATATTTATAGTATTTAATAGTTATGAATCCGAATATGTTTCATCTAAATGGTATGTCGAATATGTAGACACAGAGTTATGTCAATGTAATACAGTCTATTATATGTAGTTCGATGCGATCGACTTTCTATTTCCAAGTTGCCATTTGCCATATAAAAGTATTTTATATTTGGGTTCAGAAATATGACAATTTTTTTGTTTAATAGTTTAGTTTAAAAAACGTTTTAAATATATATCATTTGCTAAAAACATTTAAATAGGTATGTCTCACAAATTTCTGATCAATCACTCTTCACATAGAACAAGTTTATTTCAAATAACAATATCAAAAAATAATTTAAAACTCACCGATGATGACGTTGTAGTAGAATGACACAAAGAACGCAACTATCACAGCACACATCCCCACCCCTGAAAAAAAAATATCCATATTATAGTTAGAAAAAAATAAAGAGTGGGCTGGAAGAGTGGTTGCTTAAAAAAATTTCTTTATAACATGAATATCATTTGATTAGGTAAAGAAATTCTGATCAGAAGAAGAATGAAAGAATAGCTCAGAAGGATTCTAAAAAATGATGGATTAGAGGTCACCATGCCTTCTCTTAGGTGAGGAAGGAGTCGTCACGGAATTCGAGGGATAAATTAACAATAAAGCAATATTATTTTTCAAAAAGGAGATAAAAAAAATGTAGTTAGAGAGTTGAAATTATTCCATCATTGGTAGAAATATAAAGGTATAAAACTAGAAAACATGAGACAATGGGCTACTGGCCAAGTTAAGGAGATGGGAGTGGAGCGCCTAGTAAAATCTCGCCCTGAATCTCCGTTATGGTTAGAGCTGAAAAGCGGTCATGATGAGTGGGTAATAGTGTTGCCCAAAATCGGTCTTGGTATTGCACTTTGCAAGACCAACACCAAGGCCGCCCAACTGTTGCAAGACCAGGACTGGTAAAAAAAGAAAATTTTTTTCAATAAAAATTAAGGCAAAATAGTTACTAATACTTCACAATTTTAGCTACTATATGGAAAGAATTACTATGAACAATATACTTTTGCATTTAACTCTTCTAATTTTTCATTCGGGCTTAGTTAGGTTTCTCTTATCTAAAAAAATATAGTAATATCTCTATAGACCGTTGGGAGACTCTTGCACAAGACCAAGAGCATGACCAAGATTGAGTTTGCAAGACCAAGAATCGTCTCTGTCTAGCATTTGGGCAACACTACACGAAATGGTGAACGTACGCCCCTGATGTCAAGTATTTCCATACTGTTTCTAATCTAGCAATCCAATCAGTCTTTATGTTATTTAAATAAATTATTGAGTGTAATAGTCTATTTGTAAAAAATAATAAAGATTATTCACATGTTTATTTAGAAAGAATTGCTATAACCAATATACCTTTGCATTTAACTCTTCTAATTTTTCATTCAGGCTTAGTTAGGTTTCTCCTATCTAAAAAATGACAATAATATCTCTATAGTAATAAGCTAATAGGTAACTGCAAGACTGTTGCAAGAATCTTGCGCAAGACCAAGACCAAGAACAAGACTAGATGCGCAAGAACAAGACGTCTTGGTCCCGCACTTGGGCTACACTAGTGGGTAAGATATTAAGATATTAAGTGAATTAAAACCATCTTCGCATTAAGATCTGCAATTAATCGTTATAAACATAATTCGCATGCTCACCAAATACTTTCTGAATCTCTAAATCAAACTCAATAGTGTAAAGGGTTTGATTAGTATTTTCTAAATTAAATTCATCGTTAAATTATTAATTGCTTCGACTAATAAGGATTCTGTTTAAGTACTTCGAAATAATCTTGAGCTCAGAGAAAGTTTTTCTTAAGCTCCGAGAAGATAGATGTCATCGAATATTACTCTTAATTATTGAGCTACGGATTTCAGGATTTTAGCTGCTTATAGAATAGGCGTAGCGTCAAGAAAGGAGGAAGCTGTATAGGAGTACCACCTCAACTTAACTTGAAGTATGTTGAAACTTGAATAGATGTTCAGTTAAAATCAGAGCTAAAAACGGAAAAAAAAAATTATTGATAAAAAGTTTTAGTATCACTGGAATTTTTACAGTCGGTAGTTTTTCAGGTCTTTTGAAACTAGAACTTTCTCTTTTGTAATTTTTCAAGTAAAGGTTTTTCAGAACTTTTATTTAAAAAAAAAAAAACTTATTTAAAAGTTCTCTATTTTTTCGCTAAAACGTCGACCTAAAAAAATACTTTTATTATTATCTACTCAAACAAACGATGCATTACAATCATGTGTAATTCATTCATTATTTTTATTTCATGTTTTTTTTTTTTTTAACTGAGAATTTAGAAGACAACTCATACTTTTTTATTTATTTAGTCTATTCGTTTTTATTATTTGTGATAATTCTCTGAGGTTCCGAAGCCTACATTTTTGTCTCTGTATATTATTCTTAAGGGACTTGTCCCAGAATAAATAAAGTATTATTATTATTATTTCCATTCTTTATTCTCGCTTTGCGGGGTAAGTGTCTGAGGTGGGAGACCAGAAGTCCAGCCACTTCAGATTAATATCTATTACTTTTTAGATATTTAAAAACTTTCGAACAATACGTGCCGTATCCAAGAGAACCGAGTGTTGAGCCTCTTTCAGCACTTCAAGAGGTAATTTTAATCCCATCGTGCCTGCCACTGTTGTCTTTGGTATCAAACCATTGGAGGATATTATAATTGGAGTGGTGGTGACGTTCTCCAAATGATATAATTCCTTCAGTTCGATTGCCAGTTCCTGGTATTTTCTCAGTTTTTCTCCAACAGTGGAGCTTATATTATTATCATTGGGGATCCCGACATCAATAAGCTCTGCTCTTTTCTCTCTCATGTCTATCAGAAGGATGTCTGGTTTATGTTGCGCACAGTATGGCCAGTTATTATCGATTCATCCCAGTAGAGCTTGAGACTACCTTTTTGGAGGAGTTTATTTGGGTGGTACTTATAATATGGAGTTTTGTCATCTAACAAGTTGAACTTCACCGCCAGAGCCTGATGAAAAATTCTAGCCACATTGTTATGCCTCTGGAGATACTCGGTGCCAGCCAACACTCCACACCCACCTGTGACATGTTGGATTGATTCTAGGGTCGCTGAGCATAATCGACATTTATCCGTAGTTGTTGCGTCTTTAAGAACATGCCTTCTATATGATCTAGTAGCAATAACTTGGTCTTGGATGGCGAGCAGAAATCCTTCTGTCTCGGAGAATATCTTTCCAGCTTTCAGCCATTCAATGGATATTTCCTTGTCAATCGAGCTATCATTTAATTTGGTGTAGAATCTTCCATGCAGAGATTTATTTTTCCATTCTGTCAAGCGTTCGTTTTCTGACACGATTGTAGAGACCTCACGATTGCTCAGGTTAAGTGCGGTTAGACCATAATCCAATCTTGAGATTGCGAGGTAAACCTCAGTTGTTTTTGTAAGAAAGTATCGACGTAGGGCCGCTTCCTGCTTGCGGCAAGCTTCTTCGATATTTAGCAAACCACGTCCTCCTTCTTTCCTAGGCAAATACAAGGCGGTCGATCTCCTGTAGGCTGGTGTTTGACCAGTGCAATATGCCGAAACTATAACCGAGAGCAGGTATTGCCCAGGTGTTAATGGCCTTGATTTTTTGTTTCCAGGTTAGCTGGGTTTTGAGCACTTTCCGCAATCTAATTTTGAACATTGTCAGAAGGTCTTGTTGCATATCTTTTCTTGCAATTTTAAGATGTTGCTGCATTCCCAGATATTTATATAACCTATTGTCTTCAAGCTCCCTGATGTACTCTTTTTCGTTGATTAGAATATTCTGCATACTAACCACTTTTCTTTTGGTTACATGGAGCACCGCACATTTATCCAGACCGAGTGACATGCCTATATCACTACTAAAAGATGAAACGGCTTCAACCATGCTTTGTAATTGGTCTTTGTTTTTCGCATATAGTTTAAGGTCATCCATGTACCAGCTGTGGCTGACTGTGGTAGCTTCGTCGTTGATGACTAATTTGTATCCCATATTGTTCTTTCGAAGAATCCTGCTTAGTGGGAACAAAGCCATACAGAACCATAAGGGGTTTAGACAATCTCCTTGGTATATTCCTCTCAATATTTTAATTTGATTCCCTGTGCAGATAGTTCCAACTTTCAACGTAGTTTTCCAACCTGTCATTAAGTTTGAAAGGAGCCTGCTTACTTTAGATTCAACCTTGTATATATCTAGTACTTTAAGTAGCCAGCTGTGGGGAACCGAGTCAAAGGCCTTTTTATAATCGATCCATGCCATAGAGAGGTTTCGCTGTTTTTTCGCAACTTGTGCTGCAATGAACGAATCTATTACTAGGAGTTCTTTACAACCTCTAGCACCTTTTTTGCACCCTAGCTGTTCTATGGGTATCATATTCTCACTTTCGAGGTGCTCATATATCTTAGTTGCCAAGATGGAAGTTAGAATTTTATACAGACCATTTAAACACGTTATCGGCCGAAAATCTTCAGGACGCATGTTTAAGTCATTCTTTTTCGGAAGCATATACGTGATGCCATCAGAGAAACCATCAGGGGGGCACTGTTTGTCTTCAAGTATTTCCTGGTAACCTTTGGCCAGCAATTCATGGAAGCAATGAAATCTTTTAATCCAGTAATTTTGGATTCCGTCAGGTCCTGGTGCCCTCCAATTTTTCATGTTTCTGACCGCTTCCGAAACATCTTCCACAGTTATGGTCACTTCCATCATTCCATTGACATTCTGAAGACTTTGCAGTTCTTCTTGTATCCAAGAAGAAGAACAATAAGAAGTTATTATTATTATTATTATTAAAACAAATTCTAGCTCTAATCTAAGCTCATTTAACGAAACATATTTTAAGAACTTGATTAAATACAAGTTAATCTTTTACCATAAATTTGGAAATTATTTACAAAAAAGTTCCTTAGAACTTTTATTTTAAGAAATTTTTTCCTAAAAAGTTTTACAGAAACTGTTAAAAGTAACTTTTGACAAAGTTTTAACACTTGGTTAAAGTAGAGATATTATAGATATACGAAGTTTTTTTTGTTTTTTTTAATTGAGAAGTTTGCATACAACTTACACTTTTTTATTTATTATGTCCATTCGTTTTAATTATTTATCATAATTCTCTGAGGTTCCGAAGCCTACATTTTTGTCTCTGTATATTATTCTAAAGGGACTTGTCCCAGAATAAATAAAGTATTAATATTATTATTATTAAAATAAATTCTAGCTCTATTCTAAGTTCATTTAACGGAACATATTTTAAGAACTTTATTAAATACAAGTTTATCTTTTACCATAAATCTGGAAATTAGTTACAAAAAAAGTTCCTTAGAATTGTTATTTTAAGAATTTTTTCCGTAAAAAGTTTTACAAAAACTGACAAAAGTAACTTTTGAAAAAAGTTACTTGGTTAAAGTAGGAATACTACAGATATACGAAGTTTTTTTTTTTTTTAAACTGAAGACTACGACTGTTTTTACATAGTTTTAACAATGATATGGTCCTTGAAAAAATTCGATGCTATACGAGCTCTTTCCCCACTCCGTTCCTTCGTGAAAAGTTATAAGCACGCTACTCTTGGGATTCGCTAGTCTACATACTAAAACTTTATGGCGTTCTCCTTTATGTGAAAATAAGTTAGCTTTTTGCATGCATACTCCAGAACTAGAATGAATCCTTTTAAAGTTGAAACAATCTTGTTGCCGAATTTCCCCAAACCAGAAAATCATAGAGATTTACAATGGTTTTATATACTCTTCCTGAGTTTACTCAATGTTAGAAATATGAACCTATCCATATTCATTCATATTATTTATTTCGAATGATGATGAAAGTTATACAGCTGATTAGGAATATCAGTTTCCACTAGTTTCAAATAACAGTGACGCGGCTGAGAGAGAAGAACTGGGATCTCCTGGAGTCCTGCCTTGGCTTCCACGTCGGGGAATAAGGCATGACTCAGAGTCCCCTGGGTGAATGTAAATATTGTACATAGGTGTGAATGTGATTTATTTACTTTAATTTCATCTAGCTTTTATCTATTATTTCATTGTTTTTTTTGTACACAGGCATACCAATTTACTTATTTTATTTCTTTTTCTTTATTATTGATATTAATTGTATGTACATATTGTGTGAATGAATCATGTAGCCTTAATATTAATGCCCTTCAATGTGGCAGAATGTATTAATATTCAACAAAGAAAGTTAAAAAAAAAAAAAAGATTAGGAATATATTTGTTTACCTTTAAAAAGAGGGCATATCTTCCATAATGTTATAGGTCCTTGCCGGTTGAACTGACCCAGTATGAGCTCCATGTAGAAGAGAGGTACAGCCCCAAAAACCAACATCAATGTGTAAGGTATCAGAAATGCACCTGCAACAATGTTTATTATTTTTATTTTGTAATAGCTATCATAACCAATCAACATTACATTATTACAATCTTTGTCAATTATCCTATACTGAAAATCATATTTTACTGTAACTTTCAAATAAAAATGCATCCATCATCTTGCTACGATAATATTCTCAAAGTTTGTCATAATTTGAATTATGGCTGTTATATAAAATAATTATTATTATAACAATTTTTCCGTAGAATGGTGGTGAGGTCAATGAGTAATAATTAAATTATTGACGTTTCCGTATTTCCACGATAAAAGATTATTTTTTGCACTCGGAGAACAAACATATGACATGGTTTTCGATACTGATTACTGGCCAGCAAACTGACCAATAATATAAAAGATAAGAACCATGAGGGGACACCAGATGAAGAAGATCCAAGTCCGACTGGACGTCAACATGGATGGACGAACGGGATAAGGCAAGTGCAACACAACAAGCAAAGAAGTTTAACTTTAAGTGGAGTTAAAGCACTTGACTGGTTGACGGGCCTCCGGGGTAAACTATGCAGCACCAAAACTCCTGTGAAACTTGGGATTTGGTTCCTCAGGACGCTTAGGTCGCTACCTTAAAGTTTGTTTCCACCTCTAGGTAAAGCTTGGTTCGGGTCATATTTAGACCACGAGTTGTATGTGTATTTGTGTAGAGAAGTAATAAGTTATTATCCTAATGAGATGTTTGATAAATACATACATATTTTAATGTTTTAATACACTTATTTTTCTTTCGAAGTAATTTTCGTAAACATATATATATATATATATATATATATATATATATATATATATATATATATATATATATATATATATAAGCTTTCCTAGAAAAAAAAAAGGTTTGCAAGGATTTTGTTGACTGTAGAGGTAACGATTTTACTTTCCTATTCTATATGTGTGAAATATCAACTCGATTTGAAATCAGTTTGATTAATATGGTATACGAAATTTGAAAACTGATTTCGAGTATATTTTGTTATTGGCTATTCTATTCTTATCCCGAATCATAGCAAATTGATGGATTCATTTTAATATTGTAAATTAAATATTATTTATTATCAAAAAATGGCCTTCTATTGCTAAAAAATCAATGAAAAATTTTTATTCCATTTTATTTTACGTGCTCCGGTGAAATATATTCATTGAATTATATTTCTGTATAAGAAATCTGATATTCGAACCAATGACAAATACATAACAGGATAAATGTAAAGGAATATGCACATTTGTTATTCAATTTTAAGTATAGAAAATGGTTGACATTACACCCTGTATATTCTATTCAATAAATCCAAATGGCTAGTTAAATTCTGAAGAAAGTACTTAGTTCTGCCACAAATACTGTTCATACAAAAAGTTGAACTTTGTTGTTGTTCGAAGGAAAATTTTATCGCCAAAATGATCGTGTGCACGCACACAGCTCTAAAGAAGCCCAGGAAGTCATTGGAAAAGTTGAAAGAGGTCCTCACCCTTCCTCAGTGATGGTTTGGTGGGGAGTTTGCTTTGATGGCACCACAAAGCTTTGTGAAAAAGGAGTTAAAACAGCCGCTAAAAGCTATCAGGACGATATTTTTGAACCTGTTTTCAAGCCTCTAAATGATACTCTGTTTGCTGGAAGGCATTGGGTTTTCTAGTAGAATTCCGCTCCAGCTCACATGGTCAGGTCAACTCAGCAGTGGCTGCAAAAGAACATTCCAGAGTTCATTTCTGCCTCGGATTGAAGCTCTTATCTCAACCCACTAGATTATCGGCTTTGGTCCGAACTGGAGAGGATGGCATGCCACAGAGCACATCCTAACTTGGAAAGCCTCAAACAATCTCTGGTTCGAGTAGTTGAGCGCTTTCCTCAAGAAGTGCTGCATGCTGCTATTGATGACTGGCCACGGAGATTAAATGTCTATTAAGGAAAAAGGGGAGCATTCTGGGTAATTTCTTGTTTGTATTGCTCTCTAGATATATAGATTTTATTTTCTAATAAAGTTTTTGAAAAAAATTAATGTCTGTTGAAATCTGTATATATTTCCTTGTAACAATATTTATGAAAGGTATTATATAAAGTATACTTGCTGACATTTAACATATTGTATATGTATCGAATACCTCCTCCATTTCTGTAGCAGAGGTACGGGAACCTCCATACATTGGAGAGGTCTACGGCGAATCCTATAATGGAGAGGAGGAAGTCTGCGTTTCGCCCCCAGGTCTCCCTCTGTGGAGCATGGACCACGGTTTTTGCTGTTCCTCCAATCAATCGAACTTCCAGGCATCCTGCAACACGCCAAGCAAAAGTTGGGATAAGCATAAGATGTCAGAGTTGATTGAAATAAGTATCTCTATTAAGTATCTCTAATAAAAACGCCACTGTCCATAAATTTATTCAAATACAAAACCATTAAAACAATAATAACACTTCTAAACAGTATTAAATAATCATTTCTGAAAAAAAAATCAAATCGATTGATTATATTGATATTGTCAAAAAGTGTTATCTTATAATAAATACCTTAGTGAATCTCAACGAGATTCAGCCTTTCATATTTTGCTCGATTTATCACATTTGTTTCATGTGGTTGGTTTATTGAAAAATTTAAATTAGTAATTGTTTTGTGAAGCTAAACTTTTTTTTTTTATTATTATTATTTTAATGGAATTTACAACTGTATTACATAGAAAATACAATAAGTAAATGTGAAATTGGTAACATGACATGTACAACATGAAGAGAAACTACCCATTGGTAGAACTCAAATTAAAGTTCTATATTAGAAGATCCCGAGGCCATCTTCTTTTCAGACGCCTCGGGGGGTTATCAGGGATCGAGGAGGAAGCAAGGTTTGAAACGAGAGGATTCGGATGGTTCTGCAGTTTGTTAAGGAAGGACAGGTATCTGGATTGGGCCAAATCGGAAACATATGGAAAATTAAGGTCTTTATGGATGATTTTATTTGTGACAAAGTAAGGAGCGTTGAGGATTTTGGATTGTAAGGATTGGATACGAGAGGAATTCAATGGTTTAGTGGAGCCCCAAAGCTCAATTCGGTAAGTCCAAATAGGTCTTATTATTGTCATATATATGAGTCGTTTATAATTGATTGAAAGCTTAGAGTGTTTGTCTAGTAAGTGCTGCAGTAGTCGAAAACGTCGGGCGGTTTCTAGTCGTTTCAGTCTGGTATGGTGTGTAATTATCCAAGTGATTCGTTTGTCAAGGTGGAGTCCTAAGTATCGGATTTGTTCGAAAGGGATAAGAGGGCTATTGTTGAAGGATACTGTAGGACAGGAAGTCATAGGTTTACGACGAAGAGTGAAGGTAATTTGATAGGATTTATTGGAATTTATTTTAATCCTCCAGTTTTGACACCATTTTTCAAAGCTTGTGAGAAGCTAAACTTAAAGTGAGGTTGTATAAATTTCTACTTTAATTATCGACGTGAAAACGCACTAACAACGGGAGGTCACAGATTACAACCAATTTTGTTGGCATAAATATTTTTACTATAAACATACATAAAACATATAAAGAAATTTATGAAACATATTTACAGAAAAAAGTAGTACTCCTCGGAATCAATTTGCCTCTGGGAGTTGATAAAGAAGGATGTGATAAAAAAGTTTTATGTTTTCAATGCCCCCAAATTCCAATATTTTATTAATCGAATTCCCTATTACTGTAAAATAAAAAAAAAACTGTTGTTTCTTAAATTTGAATGTGTTATGTTTGATGCTATACGGAAATTATATAAAGAAGCTCTTAGGATACAAGGGATTGGATATGAAAGACACAGAGAATGTATCGCTGAGCACTAGCGGATCCAAGATTTAATTTTGGGGATACTTCAGCCCGACAGCTTTTTTTCTCATATATATATATATATATATATATATATATATATATATATATATATATATACATATATATATATATATATATATATATATATATATATATATAAGTTAAGGTACGGAGCGGGACAGTATTAGCTTTAATACCAAAAGCATTTATGTAAACAACTTAGAATGTATATATAGAGGATTATAAGGAGGAATAAAGCAGTCTTGTTTCTGACTTCATGCGTGTTATTTGTTTAAAGTCCGCCACGTTTAACTTATATATAATGTTAGTTACTTCGAAAAAAAAAAGAAAGATACTAACTATCTATATGGAATGGTGTTTAAGCGATTCATTAAGTCCTATTAAATGCAATTATACGAGCAATAATACTTTAAGAGATAATTTTTAAATATTTTTTCCATAAAACATGGTTACATTTTACATTTTGGGAGGGGGGAGGAAATTTAGCTCAAAAGCCCCATACCCGTAGATTTGCCTGTTTCGCTGAGGAAAAACATCGTAAAACCAACTGGTTGGTCTAACAATAGGAGACATAACAGCACATGGAGGTCTTTTTGGTTGAACATCCTTCTCCCTCCCCCATCAAAATGGAAAAATAATTTTGTTCCTGAGAGTGGTCTGAGTCAAACAATCAAAATATGCACTCTTTTTAAATTATAGCACATGTTTTTTACCAGAACCTTACGTATCATCCAAATCCCTATCTAGCACTACCCATCCCTATGATGTTATAAAGCACTCTACACTAAATGCAAGCACCTGTCATGAAAAACATTAACGCTAAAAGCATTATTGTTCCTGTAAAAGGTATTGTTTCTTTATTATTATTATTTTTTTTTAACCAGCCTATAAGGACCAAGTAATCCTTATTTTCCTATAATTTTAATCAAAATTATCTCTCTCAAATAATATGAGGACCTATTAAAAAAAAAGAAGGCTTATTTGACGTTTCAGTTCAATTGATTCATCAATCCAATCCAATAAATTTAAATTAGTTATTCTAGTTAAAAACTCAGATCAAATTAATGATTACAGGTGAAATTTTTATTTATTTATTGAGTAATATAATATTCTGCCACTTGGACAATAATTATAGTGAGATAAGTCTAGATTGACAAAATATATACAGAAAAGATAAAATATACAGAATCAAAATAACAACTACATTATAATAACAAATTATATACAATAAATAAAATACACACAGGCGTTCCTATATACACTATTTACAAGCAGGCGATGGCACTCCAAGCCAGGTTTATTCCTGCAACTAAGATCCCTGCGCTACTCTGGTGCTAAAGCCAATTGAGATAGAGGGAGAGCGCTTTAGCCATATACACTCGTTTCTTAAGTTGAGAATCCTTCCATTGAAAGAACTCCAATATGTACATACTACAAAAGGCCGCGGTGCCACTGCTGTTTTAACCTTCTTGGAGGATTATTCGGATGGGTGGTGCTAGATAAGGATTGTGCAAGGGGATTTGGATGACACGTAAGATTCTGGCGAACAGGTAAACTTAAAATAGATAAATCTGGAATAGAAATTTAATAATAACAGGCATTCCAAATTATTAATTAAAAAAATTCGCAATTCAGGAACCCAGTTTTACCAATCAACCCTTTCGACCTAGCCAAAGGGGAACGCAAAAAAATGTGAGCACGTCAAAAAAATGTTTAACTAACGACGAAAATTAGTTTAAACTAAGTCTTAATTTGATATTATTTTATACTATTTATTGATTTACACAATTATTAGATTTTTTTCTTGAGCAAAATTTACCTGATGGTACCAAGAGGTTTACCCAAAGGTTAAAAAAAAATCTTACAACACTGGAAGTGACAAGGAATTAATGTGATATAAAAATCTTTTACCATAGAGATGAGTTTGTTGGAAGAATGGAAGGATAGATAAATTCGAAGGTTATCTGTTTGTAAATGGTATTGTGAGCAGTGGATGGAGTCAGGTAGATCATTAATATAGATAGAGAAAGGATTTGGTGAGAGTGATAAGCCCTATAGAACTGCACATTTAATAAGGTGAGCTGGAGATTTATTATAAAGTTCAACTGTTTGGAAATGGGAATACAAGAATAGACTCATTAAAACGCCATGTTAAAGCTTTAGAGTCCGGAAAGGAGTATCTTATTACTAAATTAAGCAAAGACATTTTTAAAATCGAACAGAACAAGAAAAGTTATTTTCTGTCTAATTCGAAGAAGTGTAAAAGGTATAATGTAGATGGTTTATCAAGACTGATTAGTGCAATGGAATTGGAAACGTTGTAGAGAGAATTATGCAGAGCTTTATGCCCACGAATGTTTATAATCTTTGAATGGCCTTGGTCTAAGAGTAATTTCGATATAGTAATGAGAAAGGTGGTCTGAAATAGGACAATGTAGAGATAGCAGGGAGGTCATAGATCGAACGAACTATTTTTATTCATACTTTAGAGAAGAAGAAATTTTGAATGGTAGTGTTGTATATGAGCTCATGATGGCCAACCGTGTTAAACCATGAACTATAATATTCTCCAGCCTAGCGACGTCGTCATAGCGACTATAAACATGGCTTGGGTGGAGAATCTGACCATTTCCAGAACTCCGATTACAAAATAAATATTAATATTTTATTATTTTGTTTTTTATTTATGCACGGTTTTTGTTCAAATTAAATACTCTCAAAAACACAAACAGACAAAATTAGAGCAATATATTGCAATTTCCGAGTAAGTTAGACCTGATGTCCTAGGAACCTTACTCTCGCACCTGTGTGAGCCGGTTTGAACCCGGCCTGGGAGGGTTGAAATTTATTTCGTGGTGGATCCGCGAAATAAATTTCAGCCTTCTGAGGTAGTGTTGTATTCATGTATAAGAACAGGAAGGATGACACAATGATTACATTTGATCATTTTTCCGGCTATTGTTATAAGTTTAAAAGACTGGATTTTGAGATAAGCATCACACCTCTAGGGAATAATGACATATAAATAAGTTAACCTGGTTATGGTAGATAGGTCGAGGAAGGACAAAAAAATTTCTAATTGGGAATGTGTTCAGACAAATTGGAAGTATTGAATTTATAGTTTCTGAGCAAGAAATTATGGAAATTTTAATGAAAAAATAATCAAGGAATTAAACAAAATATGCTCAAAAGGATTAATGTGGCAGGATTTTGTCTTAGAAGGGTATTAATCAAGTTAGGAAAATAAAGGATATTATGCAACGGGAAGAGTAAGAATATTTTATTTAAAGTAGAAAGGTAGAATTGTTGTTTATGATCTTAAAAAATACTTTGGAAAAAATAAAAATAAACTATACTAATAATTTTACCAACTTACTTGCTTGTGGTTCTTCGATGTCTGTAGGTTGGTGAAACTTAGTTGCTAACTTCTTCTGCCCTCCGGTACAGTAGTAGCCTAAAACAAACACAGCATTGTTTATTCCTCAATATTTTTTCAATATATAAAACTTTTTGGAGTTAATGAAGTAAAACAGTAATCTTATCTTCAGTTCTTTCATACACAATAATTAACTTACGTTTAACTTAACGATGATTTTTTTTTTAATTTTACAAACGTGTCATTCATTTCATTAACCTATACACGAAATATATAGTGAGAAAAATATTGCTATTGTGAATTCAAACCAGAATCTTCAACGGAAATTAATGTTTTAAGGTACCCTGGGTTCAAATAACCGACCCTAACAAAAAGGTCTTTGTGAACAATTTAGCTCAAAAATGGAAAAGATGTAGAAAACTGAACTTTTGTGTTTAATATAGTTATTTGCCTTTGATGTTACAGAACTGTTTCGTCATAATCGATTGACTGGATATGTTACTTAATACCATTGATTATATACATTTTTACGGTTTTAATGCATAATAATATTTTAGCTTCTGCATTCTGAAAATTTAAATTAGAGTTTTCTTTTTATTATTTTCTGGATTAATTCATTGCTTAGGATCAGACTTGGGCAAAAAGTATTTTAATTATTATTTTAAAATACAATATTTAAAATAACAAGATTTTTTTATTTTTCAAATACAGTGTATTTTAATTACTAAGGATTAAAATTGTTTTCAGAAAAGTTATTTCAAATTCAAAAAGTATTTTTATTTTAAGTACGAATAAAACAAAATACTTATTGGTGGACGATCATGCTATAATTTAAGGAAACTATTCTCTTTGGTAATTTATTTAGTGTATTTATTTATTTTTATTTATGATATTTACAACTGTATTAGTATAAATACATCAAGTAAATATGTACAGAGAAATATAATCGCATGAAAACGCTTGAAAAACTATCCATTGGTTGCACTCTAATAATATGTCTACATAAGAAGATCACGAGGCCATTTCCTTTCCAGACACCTCTGATGGTTATCAGGAATCGAGGATGAAGCAAGGGTAGAAACAACAGGATTCGGATGGTAATGAAGTTTATTATGGAAGGATAGGTATCTGGATTGGGCTAAATCGGAAACATACGGAACATTTAGGTCTTTATGGATTATTTTATTTGTGACAAATTAAGGATTTTACGAAGGATTTTGGATTGTAAGGATTAGATTCGAGAGGAATTTGATGGTTTAGTGGAGCCCCATAGCTCAACTCCGTTTTCTTGTATTTAAAATACAAAATAAGATACATTTTTTTGTATTTTATTATCTTGGAAATAAAATAAAAATACTTTTTTATATTTTGTATTTTAAAAAGAAAGTATAGTTACAAACAATCTATTTTATATTTTGTGGGTAAATGGTTGACTGTCGTGAATAATGAAGAGAAGAATAGTTAATGTGATCAGTCAAATAAGAAGGCAAAAATAAATTATAATATTTATTTTGACATTTACCGACGTTTCCACCTGAAGTTCAGGCCCTCATCAGGGCTGTCTCCAAAAAGTTTTAACAGAGAAGTGGAGACAGCCCTGATGATGAAGGCCTCAACTTCAGGTCGAAACGTCGGCAAATGTCAAAATAAATATTATCATTTAATTTTGCCTTCTTATTTGACTGATCACCCCAACTATTCTTCTCTTCATTATTTTATATCTTACTTCTTAAAATACAAAAATATTTTATTTTGTATTCTAAAATATTTCATTCGATATATTTCTCAGTTCTGCTTTGGATACAAAATTACTAGGTCTAATAATAAATTTAGAAAAAAATAAACGTACATATTTTTTAAATGAAAAACTATGCAAGTATAAGTATAGCTAAACTACATAATAGGATAACCGTTTATATTAAAATAAAATGACATCCAATATAAGATCTCAGGCGAACAAAGGCAATTTAATAGGGAACCCTTATCAGTCCCGTGCTTTTCAAAGGTTAGAAAACCTGGACCTTCTCAAAAGTGGAAGACAAAAGCTTGAGGTCTTTGAGTGTAAAGTTAATTCTCGGTTTTCTTAACAATAGAAGAAAATGAAGACATAGAACTAACAATGTAATTTATTAAGTACTAGGGCCTGAAGCTGAAATCTTTATTTTCCAAGTAACAGATCGTAAATATTAAGTTTCATAACTAAAAAATACCTTGAACCATTTATTAAAAATAGGGTACAATAATATATATATAGAGAATATACATTGTTAAACATGGTGGATAAGGAAAAGGGTCTACAGAAGAAGCTTCAGAGATCTTCAAGGACCTCTGACTGGTAACATCTGGAAGAAGCAGTCTAGCGCAGAGGAACTGTGTAAGAGGATCAAGAGACAGAGACTAGAACTTACTTAGTGGACTTAGGACAGTTGATATCTATTTAACTGCAGGGAGAACAGAAGCGTCACGTTGAATCGGATGGACATGAGCAAGAGATGAGTGCAGATGAAAGTAAATAGAAGACCACAATTTACATAATATTTCTGATATTGGTTTCATGTAAATTATACGGGCAGCAAAATATTAACCTAATTTCCAATAATCAGTATTTTCCATAAAATGTTCTCATTTGTAGTTAAAGGTTTTTTTTTTTAAATTAAGTGTCATTGAGAACTGGAGTTTCCTTTTACAGATTGCAATTTAATCCAACCGCCTAATGGGGTGAATCATTAGGGAAAAAAATTGCCGATTTCATTTTCTTGGACATTTTTATCCACAGATCGTCATGATTTATTTTTCAAATGCAATCAATGTTGGTATCACATTAATCCTAAGAAAATATCAAATGCATTTTTAAACGAAATAGCATCGGTTTTCCTTCAGTTTTGTATTAATCTCCTTCTTCTTCTTTTGCTCCAGTCAAATTAACACGAAAAAAAGGGTCTAGCTTGCAAATAGTAGGGTAATTAACATTTCTTTCTTTCTTTTTTTTTTGTTTATATTGTTAAGTTTTACTTTAGTATTATTTTATTGCCGTTTATTATTTTTATTTATTGTATGGTTTGAATGAGCTACTCTATATCACTATTACTATTGTCCTTGAATGTGACAGATTGTAATATCTCAATAAAGAAGTTTTAAAAAAATATTGTTATGTATGCATTGCTCAAATGCGAGACCGAGACAAGTCGTGGTCTTGCAAACTCAGTCTTGGTCATGGTCTTGGTCTTACGCAAGAGTCTCGCAACAGTCTTGCAGTTACTTATCAGCTTATCACTATAGAGATATTACTTTAATTTTTTAGATAAGAGAAACCTAACTAAACCCAAATGAAAAATTAGAAGAGTTGAATGCAAAAGTATATTGTTTATCCCAATTATACTAACTAAAATTGTCGAGTATTAGTAACTATTTTGACGCAATTTTTATTTAAAAAGTAGATTTTTTTTACATATCCTGGTCTTGGTCTTGCAACAGTATGCGGCCTTGGTCTTGGTCTTGCAAAGTGCCGATTTTTGGCAACACTAGTATGCAGAGACTATACAAAATTCAAGTATCTGCCCTCGAAAGCGTTGTGGGTCCGTTGCAGAGCTCCAAAAACCATTGAAATTGTAAACTTTTTTTGGTTTACACTAAATATCTCCTTTTTAAAGCCAAGGATAAAAAAATGTTTATATTCAATCTTAAATAGCTTAAAATTATCTGACATCTTTTTTCTAAACCCAACAGGAAGCAAACTATCGAGCTTTCAAAATGAATAAAGTTTTGGGGAAATAAGATACAAAATTGGAAATTAAATTATTCTATTAATATTTATTCGTTAATACGATCAAACATCAATACAATAATTATAGCACTACAACCATTTATGAGTACTTAATGGTGTGGCAGAGGGCTGTAGCCGGGCTTTGCCAGTGCCGCTTTTCCGCCGATTAACTGCATTTTCTAAGTAACTGCTTCAAATATTTTAAAAAGTAATCAGTGCTTTAGAAATAGAAATGTATTCTTCAGATATTATATTTCAGGGCATTATTCGCTATTGTTTGCTATTTACAAAAGACATTTCATTTCCAACTTTAGTTTGAACGACTTGAAAAATTTGACTTTATTATTGTTTTATATTGCTAAGTCCAATTATTTAAAAATATTTTTTCATGTTTTATTATTTCCTATGTATCCAGCTTCAATTAAAGGCAAAATTAAGCAAAAATCCGAATCTCAGACTCAAAAACCAATTAAGACAAAGACGTCTATCTGCTATGTTTGAACGCCAGTTTGGGACAGTGCGGTCGTTATTTTTTTTCGTTGGAACATAGGCTTTTTTAATAAATAGTTACAAGAAACACAACTGTATGCAATTTATTGGGATGTGTGTACGGTGGTCTGGTCCACCGTATACTTTTAAAAACACCTCCAGACTACCGTCTTCAATGGCTCAATATCTTCAAGGAAAACTGCCAAATTCTCTGAATGAGATTCAACATGGAGTTACAGAATTCTTCCGTTCAAAACTGAAAGAGCACTATTGTGAAGAAATCGAAATGGATCAATTTGAGAACTTAAGTAAACAAAAGATTAACTTTTATTGTAAACCTATAACTTTATAAAAAAAAAAAAAGTTTTCCTAAAAAAGTTTCAAAGAACGAGTTAAAATGATACTTTTTGAAAAGTTTCAACTCCAGGTATGAATCCATGCATTTTTAGTTTTTTTTTTAATAATTAGTGAAATGTTTTTTATCTGGGCACATGAAGATAAATTTAATGTTTTAAAAAATTACATTAATTTTTTTTTTATTTCTTAATGATATTTACTACTGTATTAAATAAATACAATTAGTAAATTTGAACATATGGATAGAATGACACTAAAACACTTGCTGAGTACATTAAGAGATCACGGGGCCATCTTCTTTTCAGACGACTCGGAGTGTTATCAGGAATGGAAGAGGAAGCAAGGTTAGAAACGAGAGGGTTAGGATGATTCTGAAGTTTATATGGAAGGATAGGTATCTGGATTGGGCCAGATCTGAAACATAAGAAACATTAACGTCATTATGGATGGTTTGATTTGTAACAAAGTA